GAAGAAAAGAACTTTACGATGGTATGAAACAGAAGAAAGAGGAGGCGAATTGCAAAAAATAGAATAGGATAAAGTGAACGAGATTAAGAGCGAGATTAAGAGCGAGAGAGGGGTAGAAAGTGAAAGAATTGAGAGATCGAGGGAGATCTAGCTAGAGTGAGAATAGGCGGAGAGATAGAGGGTGTAATCAAAGACAAAGACAAAGATAGATATAGATAGATAGAGAGACGAGAGTGAAATGTGAGAGTAAGAGCTTCAGAGGTACTTATAAGCTAAGGAGAATATCAAATCTGATATCGTTACCTCAATTCATATATATTTTTAGCACTGATGTAAAACTTGATTATTGGCATTAGGAGTCTGAAATAGAAATCTCAGAAGTCCACTGTTCCATTAAGCAATTTTACAAATTTCCATATATTTTTTATGCCGCTAAAAGCAAATCAGATTTGGTTGATTGCAACCAGTTGACACTTTCAGTTAATTAACAATTGCCCCGCAGACCCAGGGCCAGAGCCAGGCGGGCACTTTCAGAAATGTGCCTTCTAGCTATGCTAATGATCATTGACTCTACTCTGGCCTCTCACACCCCTTTGGCTAGCCCCAAAAATATCGATTAGGCTTTTGGGGGCAGCAGCACATGTGGTTCAGCTGTTTGCAATTACGAGTCGAGTGGCAAAAGAACCAAATCAAAGGCATTGCACAATTGCGCAATAGCAAAGGGGGAAAATGGGGGCCTCGAGGATGAACAGCTGCATCAAATGTGTTTTCTTTCCCCTCTCTTGCCCTCTCTCTCTCGCTGTCTCTGTGTTCAGGTGCAGATGATCAACATTTGCCGGAACTGAGACACTTCCGCTCGCTCGCTTGCATGTGTGGCAGCAACAACCGAAACCCCTTCACTCAAAGCAAATGCGAAGCGCCAACTGAATTGACAAACAACACGTGTGTGTGTGTGTGCGTGTGTGTGTGTGGCAATATATGTAATGTTTATGCTGACGCTCGACCTGGCGTCTGCTCAGATCACCCAGCCAGAGCAGACCCCACCTCAATTCCACTCTCTCTCCTCTCTCTATCTCTGTCTCTGTCCCGCTCACCTTTTAGGTCTGCTACTCCTTGGCCTCAGTTAGTCAGCCGCAAATTGCTTTCAATTATGTTTGCAGTCTGCTCCCGTTTTTATGGCTCGCTGGCTCGACGTGTCTCTGCTGCGGCTGTGGCATGTTCGTGTTGACTGCCAACTGCCAACTGGCAACTTGCAACTTGCAACTTGCAGCWTCAATTGTGACTCGCAGCTTCAACTGCGACTGCGTTCTCGACATCTTGTGCAAGTGGCGCAGCTCTGTTACCCTGTAAATGCTAAACCACAGATGACAGGCAGTGCCAGCAATGGAAAGTTGAAGGAAATTGACGCCGTCTCTAATCTACTCTAGAATTTGCCTGACTGCTAAGAGAGAGAGAGAGAGAGAGAGAGAGAGAGAGAGAGAGAGATAGCCCATATAGCTTTTGTAGCTTTCCCCCTCTCTATGCCTCTCTCTTTATATCCGTATTCATCGTATAGGGTATCCAGCTCGTTCCCACTCTTCGTAAGCTTCCTTCCTACATCGTCTTATGACTTTGATTTTAATCATCAGTTTCAGCATTAAAATGTTCCATTATGCCCGCCGCCCAAGAACCGCAGCAAATTGCTTGCGGAAGTGGGCCACGCCCATTAAAGTGCTTGTTTCCAAAGGCATACGAAGCGCCGTTGCAGAGCCGTAAACTAAGAGATTGCGATTGAGTTACTCAAGGCATCATCGTCATCAACGCAGTCCAATTTGTGCTGCTCAAAAACAAACTCAAGTGAAAATTATGTCAAACCTGTTGAAAGATAAGACAGAGGAGAAAGAGAGAGCGAGAGAGAAGGGGAGGGTCAGATCTACATCTGTTGCTATCGCAGCATCAGCAGCAACACGGAATTGAGTAATTTGCTGCAAAAGACAATTAGATGCAACAGATTGTTGACTAAGTGACTGGAAACGTTTTCCCAGTTGCTGAGTTTTGTCGTTGAGGATCAGAGATCGGGTAGAACCGCCTTCGCCTCCGGCCGAGACTTGAGTTGGCAGCAACAGCTGGAGCTGCTGACAGGCTATGCGGCAGTTCAAATGAGTTCACAGTGACGCACACCAAAGTCTCCTCCTCATCGCATTTCATATTTGCCTCAGTCAATTATGCGCAAATTGCCAGCCAAGCCAAGCCAAAACAAACAGACCTTGGGCCACGTTAATGACACCGAATGGGGTCAGCTCTGACCTACGTCGAGCCGAAGCCACGCACGCGAGCCTCCATACGTATGTGTGTATGTGTGCTGAAGGTAGATAAGTACATTCAACTGACCACGACAGATTTGCTGACAGCAATCCACAGCTGAGCATGCGGATCCATATGCCTCTCATCCAATTGTCATTCTCCTTGCCTCCCTCCTGCTCTTCCTCGTCTGGCAGGCGGCAATTAGTTTTTTTGCGGTTCTGTTCTGCTCTGCTCATCGTCTTCCTCTTCTCCTGGTTAGACCCTAGAGCTGCGCTGACAGCTGAGTGGATCAAATCGGAGCTGCGATTGTGGTGTAAACCAAGCAAAGCGAATTGATAACTTTATGTTTTCTCCACAGATTCCTGCAGCTCATTTTAAAAGCAGTTAACGTCAAGCTGTGCTCAGCTGTGATCTTCATAAATAAAATTGTGTCAGCTGCAGAAAATTTGAGCTTTAACTGAAATATCATTTTGGCATAACTCTCAACTACTAATTGGTATTGCTAACAAATCAAAGTTTTTGCTTTCAGTGATCTGACATTTTTATGAGCTCATATGGATCCCAGCTCTCCGCTAATATATCATATTCAGAGTGCCTTTTAAAATATTTATGTCAATTTCTCCATAAAAGATTCTCGACTTGATTATTAATATTAATTATTATTTACATTAAGTTTTTAAAGATTTATTTAATTTCTTGTATATAAACATATACATATACACACATATATGTCTAACGATCTTAGTCATTTGCTATCTTTAGACTCCGTTAAATAGTTCAATTATAATTTCTAAGAAGCTTTTAATCTCTTTCAGTTGCCTCAACGTAATCAAGTTGTCTTATTATTTTCCTAAGCACCTTATATGCCGATCCTCAGTCTCTCCTCCTCTCCTTCGCTCCCCTCTCGCCTAACTACACTTGCACATCGAAATCCATGCTGTATAATTGGTTTGTCAGGCGAAGAGAGCAGAGTCAGACCGGCTCACAGCTGTGCCTAAACGTCCAACGTCCAAAGCTGCTAAGTGAATTAAAATAATGCTGCTCCGACTGCCAATGAACACGATCATGATCATGATAATGATCATGCTGCTGCTGCTGCTGATGATGATGATGATGATGATGATGGCGGTTAGACAGCCCCAAACCGAGACCCTGACTTCAACTGTCTGGCTCTGACCGGCCGCTGCCTGGCTGGCTGGCTGGCTGGCTAGCTAGCCGACTGGCTGACTGGCTGATGATTCTATTTATTACATGGCCCGCAATTTGCGATTCCTCTTCGCGTTTTTGCTGTGCTGCGTTTTAATTATTTGGCTTGCCGTTAGTTTTAATAAAGTTGCTAACTGTGAAACGACGTGACTGGAAAATGCTCGGAAAATGAGTATTTCATTTACAGGGAAAGTGTCGGGCTATGTCTACAGCGAGTCAGACTGCCAGACAGCTAACCGATTAAAATCTCAGCGAATTCGCAGAAAATTCTTACACGCAAGCCAACAACGAGGACAGCTGAAAAGTTGCTGCGTTAACACCCATTTCCATTTGCAAGCTCCAAGTTACAAGCTCTACAGTCCCCAATCTCCAGTCTCTGGCTCTTTCATGCGAATATTTTATCACGCGAGGCATTTTTGATAAGCATCTAGCTCAGCTGCTGCAGCAGAGCCCAAGCGGAGTTCGATTCAGATGCTCAGATCGTTGATCGCCCAGCGCTGATAGCAGCAAACAACGCCCCAGCAGCAACAGCAACAACAACAACAACAACAAACAGCGCAAAGCTCATATACAGGTACAGGACATCGCAGTCCAGACAAAGCATTTGCCTTATCTACAACTGGGCATCTGTGCAAACGCTGAACGCATTCCGCAAATGGATATGGCAACAGCATCCAGGCGCACCCATCGCAGACAAATGCTGAGCTAGGTCGACTACCAAATGTCCTGCCAAGCAAAGGGCTTCGGAGTGCACCAGTTATGAGGAGTTGAAGATTCTTAAAGTGCCGAAGAAGTGACCAAAAACCCTTTTAAGTCTCCAGAAACTGCAACGCCACTTGGAAAGGGTATCCGAAGTAGGCGTGGCTGTGTTAGGGCTACATGTGGTGGGCAAGTGTTTGCGCCAAGCGTTGATTGCGCTTATCGGTGGCGCGATCGATGCTCAGGCTGCAGCTGCAAGTGGCGTGAATTGCATGCGTAGCGGCTGCCTGCAGCTTCACGTCGCAGTCGCTGCAGTTGTGGTTGTTGTTGTTTTCGTTGCACACTTGCGTGTTGCAGCAAAAAGTGCAAACAAGTGATGAATGTCCGTGTTATGCGATCTAATGATCTAGAAATGAAGTTAATAAATCGTTTAACCAGATGGCGCAGCGCCAGCTAGTTGATGCAACTATGCTGCACGCGCTCCCTCCTGCCCTCTGTCGGTGTCCACCTTCCACTTGCCACAAAGTGGAACACTTTGCGGATGCTTGCCAACCACCGGGCCACCGGGCCAACAACGAGAGCTGGAGAGGCACGTAATTTGCATAACTACTGTGCTTATAACTCGGTACATAACAAATTACAACAATTTGATATTGCGCACATACCACAGAGAGATGGGTAGAGAGAAACTAGAAATGCTTCTAGCTTAGCTGATATCCGTGGCATGCCACAGCGGCAGAGTGGCGAATGCTGGTAAACAAGGCCAAGAACCGAGCTACATGGCTAATAAGCGCATGCAAATTAAGACCCACTTTGTGCTTTGTATACATTTATTATTATTATTAGAGTAATATTGTGGCTTAAATTACAGAAGTGTGGCAATTAAATATGATGCACAAATGTTGACTTTATGCAACAATTAAATCTAGTATAAATATAAATAGGCAGTCGTTTAGTGGTTGTGTATGTGTGTATTAATGTGCATTCTACGTCTAAGCATTACCAATTCGATATTTAAACTGCAATGAAGAAGAGAAACAAGTGATAAGCAACTGTTTTAAATATATTTTAATTAATATTCAACCTTACCTAGTAAATATTTTAGATGTCAACCAATCATAGAATCCGAAGCACAAAATAGCTGCAAGAGAGAAAAAAAAATGTATTTTAGTACGGCGTAGGTCTACTTTTAAAATCATATTTATTTGAGCTTTGAACTCAGTAATTAAGTTACAATCAAATCATTTCATTAGTCTAACATATGTAAAAAAACATCATCGTAGATTATTTGTTTGCTTTCTAGTTTAATCCCTATTTAATTACCTTTTCAGCTATAGCAAATGTGTTCCAAGACTCCAATTGATATAAGGTTGAGTTGTTTATGAGACTGCAATAGAACAAGGAAAACTATTAATATTAATTGCATAAGTAAATTCATAGTAGTTTAATTATTTATCAGCACTTATAACATTACACTAATTAAGGCAATTCATAGGTGTCCCAAGGTAAAAGCTTAGCTCATCACAGAGAAATTTGCATAAGCTTCTATCGAGAAAACTCACCTTAAATATAAAAAGATCCAATTGGGTGTCCTCTTAAGCATTCAAAATCAACTGCAAGTAACAAGTAATGAAAGCAATAAGTATATGCGTATTTACTCAAAGTGATTTAACAGAAGTTCTATCCAAATATAATTTGTACACTCACCTATTTAGAACGCATAGCGTGTGCGTATGTCCTCGAGCTTCTTACAGATTTGATTGGGCGTGCGGAACATGTCACCCGCGATACTCTTCTGCTTTACTGCATCAATAGATAAATACTGTTCGCAGAGATCACCGTCCAGCACGTTCTTCACAGGATAGTATGAGCTGCGGTAGCTGAGATGATCCCGACCACATAAGGGCGGGTTTTCATTGCGCATGTGCATCTCCAAGTGCTGGAAGAAGTCGTAGTCCTCACGACTAGTGAACGGCACGAAAGCGCCAACGGTGCCGCTCAATGTGGCATAGATGAGCGCTTCGGAGCCTCCGGGAATGAGAGTGGCCTTCTGGAGCGACATGATAATCTCTCCCACATGGAACGAGCAAATGTTCTCAGACTTCTGCGAGGCACCCGACAGCAATCCACGATCCCAGAGCGACTTCGTGCCAGTGGGATCTTCGTCCACATCATCGGTGACTGAATGCGGCAGGCGTTGAATGCTCAGATTACCAAACTTATCAGCAATAGCAATGGTATCATAATCCAACAGAGTTGTAGCCGTTACCCAACGCGGGTGGGTATCATCAGCGAATATGATGAGCTGATTCTCGGCGCGCCGATAGCGTATGAAGAATACAGACTCCTGAACATCAGAGACATAGACACGGTGGCCCATCGCTTGAATGTTGACAATCTGGTAGGGAATGTGTTTATTCTCGCACTTGCGCAGCATCTTCTTCTTGCCCAGATCATAGATGCGCAGCATGCGACCACAGCCTGCTAGTAGGCGACCCTGGAAACCACACAATGCGCCGGGTATCTCCTCGATCTCAGTACGATGTAGAAATTCCAGCGCTGAGCAGGTTGGATCAATTTTGTAGATATCAATGCATCCACCTTGCGAGATCCGCGGATTCAGCTGCAGATCCTTGGCAATGCCCACTGCCAAATAATAGCGACCATCAGCAGCAACGGAGAACTTAAGCATGGCCATAGACATGATAGCCTCGTTCTGTGTCAGTGGCACAGTGAACATTGTTTGGCCGTGCATGGCATCTAGGCAGCGTATTTGTGAAGCCCATAAGCCGAGTCCTGCCTTGGGTGCAGAGAACACATCCTCGGGCAGCACCTCATTGATGAAGGCATTGGCCATTTCTCTGGCCAGTTCGCGCTCCTCTTCGCCAGCAGCGCTACGCATTTCCTCAGCCATTTGCTCCTTACGCGCATTCTTCGTTTCTTCGGTGTACGCATTATGATCCGTTTCAGCAATCAACATGCGACCCGTATCCGGATGTATGACAAAGGCTCGCGGCGTGAATTGCAATGGAAAGGCCACCTGATTGAAAACGGCGCCCAGTTTCTCCAAAGCGAGGATACGCAGTGTGTTAGTCGATATAGCCACAATGCCCTCACTACACTGTTCGCTAGAGAAGCCTGAAGCATATTCTAGCGTCTCATACGACAGCGGTGTCAAATGGAATCGATTCTGGTGATAGTAGGACAACCAGGTGCGGCTAGACATGGCCAACACGGCTTCAGCGCCTTGCATCTTGATGCGGAACAGTTTCACCGGACGCGAACCCAAATAGCGTGTTCGGGTATCCGCCAAATCGCCAGATACAGGATCCAGCACAGTACGCAGTAAGACACCGTTACTTAATCCAATATTCAGATATATGGTGCCCTTATTGCTGCCGCTGCGTTGTGCCGGCACATCATCGTCTGCACCGGCATTGGTGGTACTCTCCGTATGACCCATTTCGACCAAACACAACGACTCGGCCGGCGAGGGTAGCGCCTGCATAGAGCACGGAGAGAGGCAATTATTGGGATCCAGAGAAAGTATGCGCACAGTATTATCAGCCAGACCAACTGCTAAGAACCAAGATCGCTGCTCGCCCTCTGGCACCGTGCCCAGAGCCATGCACATGATCTCTGCAGGCATTTCCGACCGTTCCGTATACTCGTTCAGTTCACCAGTCTGTTGGTAAATTATTCCCAATTAGTAATCTGTATAAATCGGGCTTAGCATGCATGCATTGTCTAATGATTGCTCAGCACTGCAGGACACAAAGTGTCTCAACATGATTGTTCTTTTTCGTGTTTTTGTCATCAGAGCAATGTATCGAGCATATTTAAATACATTAGAGATAGGTATATATCGACTGTACTTAAATACTCTCTTCTGTCACATAGTCTATATTAAATGCTTACCGGATCCATTTCGAAGTAGACCAACTCGCGACCAGAGAGCGTAATGACCACCTGACGTTGATTGACAGCACATTTTGTGATGGATTTCTTGCCGGGCGCCTTCCACTCATTCACTCGCTTATCGGAGCGTATATGACGAATGCCATCTGGATAGACTTGGACCAGAGCATCGTCTCCCAGTGCAGCACAACACAATGTTGGCGTAGTGCCTAGAAAACCACTGTCCGTCACTTCTTCGACGGTCTCGCCAATGCTCAGAACCAGTGTAGCATTCACGAAGGAGACAATGATATAGGCATCAAACTCGTCTAAAAGTAGGAGCACAACAAAAATAGTTTGATCGTCAGTATAATATTCTTTGGATATATAGCATTTTAAGGGCATTTGGTGACATTGAATAATCAGGTTATCAAGTTCTAATCAACGTAAAGTTCATTTGAAACACGGATGATAAGTAATCACATCATGTTCAATGTCAAGTCTTAATTATAATATTAAATAATCAAGGTTTGTAGCATTTGTTTTGTAGTATCTGTTGACTTAAGAGCTGCAGTAATGTTGCCTTACCTATCGCTTCACAAAAGACAAATATAAATTATAAGTATTATACACGAGTCTATTGGATAACTCGCATTTTATATCTGTTCAATAGTCACACAACAAACAGTAGACGTCTGTGTTTAAGCGCCTGAAATAAGAGAGAACTGGTGGTTGATAACTTGTGGCTTTTGGATCGTGTTTATATACAGGTACATAGGCTAGGATTGTTGCTGTTTCTCAGTCTCGTGCATCAAATATCTGCCAATTTAATGGTTGCCACAAAATTGCAGCGCTTTCATACATATTTTAAGAATTGAAATCAACAATCATAGCACAACCTGTACATATATAGCAATATTATTTGTTTATCTTGGGGTATCGTGTTCTGTATCATCAATGCACCAGTTGAGTTATTAGAAATATTTCAAAGCTAGCAAACTTAAGGCCTAAACTTAATAGATAAGCGCAAAGCTCAAATGAAATCTTTGATATCGACTCACCGTCAATGCGTTTCTTGACAGTCCACACGGCATTCGGATTACCGGGCAACTCGGAGACAGCCATCTCTGATACTTCAAGACCATGCCGCAGTACACGGAGTGTGGAGCGCGGTCCACGCCCACACAGCACATACAACTGTGGCGTATCCTCATTGGCCAAATCAGCCACTTGGGAGGTGATAATAGGTGCAAAGGATGGCAACTCATCGACCAGAACGAGATTCTTTAATGCACGTGGAGCGAAGAAGAATGTTTCACCCTCTTCCAGTGGCATAGCAGAACTGAATTCGGGTTCATCATCATCATCGCCCAGATGTGCTATTTGGTACAAGTAACTATAAATATAAAGAGTAAACGGGTTAGAACGCTCTGAAAATGTCTTCCTTTCCTGTTTCACTTACTGGTTGCCAAATTCACTGGCCACAAACAGAAAGCCAGTCTTCAGCACACACATCGCTGTCGCAGGGGGCACTGTATCAAAGTACTTTAGCTTGATTTCGGAAACCACATCATCATCGGTCTCAAGGGTTATCTTGAATATATCGCCCTGCTCTGTTTGTAGCAGAAAGAAATACATGCTCTTGGTACGATGAGTTGCGGAGCATATAAAGATCATTCCCCGCTCAGGATCATCAAGATCATTGCGTCTACGAGGTATGGGACAACGTATATCATGCTGATCACCCAAGTTCTTGTAGGTCAGATAGTTCTCAGAGCAAATAAGCACGCCAGAGGGTCCGTCATTGCCACCTGGCACAGAAACCAAGAAGTTTGCGTGTTCTTCGAGTGGTTCAGAGTACTTGCGAACAACATGATTGAGGCCCAAATCAAGTTCGTAAAATGTGAGCGTCTGTTGCGTCCGTTGAGCTGCATCCCCTACAAAATAATAAAAAGGAAAACAATGTTTAGTGCAAAGTTAGAAGAGGAATCAAGAAACAATGTAATTAAATGAAATAGGATGTGGACCACAAATCAGTGAAGTGTAGCTAGGTAATTACAGCGGCACCAATGGTTCAGTGGTCACATTTATCTAGCGCTAAGTACATAACAATGTCAATGGTCTATTATCCATATGCACTGTGAATTAAAGCGCCAAAGAATAGAATGAAACTTATATAAGACATATATTTACCTGATGGATCCAAGTCAGCTTCCTCGTAATCGATTTCCAGACAAGCAAACATGGGATTATCAAAGCCAACGTCCACGCCCACCATATGGTAGGTTAAGGTGTTGGACTTGTGTGCCTCCAGAGGTGAAGATATGGTTAGTCGTGCCTGGGTATCTCGGTTCATGATGTAGGCCAGCTTTTGTTTCTCAACAGCACCAATCATCACGGCACGGCCCTTGGGATCAATGGCAAAGTACTGTCCCGGCACAATGCGGCGGCAGCCCGATTTTCCAAAGGTCTCCTGATGTACTTTTTCCAAGGCATTCTTGCTGGGCATGTACTCCAAAATAACAATGCGTCCAGAATCTGATCCCACGACAATATAATCTATGAAAAGCCAAATAGACCTGATTTTATATTGGAAGCAATGAAACTGTACTTTTTTGAGGTTAGAAGTTCTTGTAACTCGAAGTTTCAGTTCGCCATGCCATGTGGTTAAGGGTCATAGCAAATGCGACGTCAAGTCAAATTACTATCGCACATAGACACGTTCACTAAGGTCAAACTGGGAACAACCAACAAAGTTGCCTCAATTGGGTTTTGTGCATAGATAAAATTATATTAAAAATCGTGATATTACAAATTATACCAACCTTTTGTGCCGCCTGTTAGACGGAAGGCCATTAGCGCACGTATGCAACCAAATATTTCCGTCGACATCAGCGTGTGAACTTTGCCCGTGTTAGGATCGGGTCGCAGCAGTTCCAGCGACTTGCCACGTGACAGCAGCACCTCCTGCTGTTTACCGCCTGAAAAATTTCCGTGCACGGCATGCGTGACGCCGGTACCCTTTTGGAGCGTCAAATTATACAAGTACATATTGAAGCAGAGCTATTTTCAGCCTAAACAGTTGCACTGCAGAAAAAAGATTTATGTTGAGGTTAGAAACGATCAACTTAACTTAGATGTTCAATATTAAGATTTCAACGGTAATGTACTACTTTAATAATACCAAGGCCACAGTAACAAACGTCGTGTCGCCTAACGATGCTTAGTAAGCAGCATTTAATTTTTAATTTTGCACACTTCAAATGCGACCAAAGCACAGACATTTCTGATTTCTGGAGATACATTGTGCATAAATACCACTAAAATATTACAAAATTTAAGTAGATTATATCTTAGTTAATTACCTTTTGCTATTTTGTTCAATGAATTAACACATTTTAATAATGATGCGTTTGGATTAAATTTTTTCACATCACTCAAGCGGCGTCATTTTCAGAGCTGCCGCTTGGCTTGACCGGTGAAGAAAAAGTGGATGGAAGAAAACGCGGGCGGTATTTGACAGCACTCACTCAGAGTTTCTTTCATTTCGATAACATTAATTTTCGATACATTTAGTAGCCCTAGTCGATCAGCTGGCCGATGACAATAATATTAAAATACGAACAGAAAAGTTTTTAAGCTCAGCAGGTGGCAATGGAAATGGATAATGCTCTATATGCAGAAGCCAATGAGAAAATCAGGCTGGGCGAGGAACTCAAGAAATCTTTAGTCGAATTTCAGGACATTCCAGGAGTAGCAAAAGTGCAAAGGAAAATAGAACAGGAACTTAAATTCTTGGAAAAGGTCCGAGTGCTTGAATGAACTGAAACATTTATTTATAGCTAACCCATATTTAATTACAGGTTATACGCACAAAGACTTTAAAGGAGAATCACATTACAAGCAGTAACTTTGTTAACTACGAATTTCTCATAAAAACCTTGCGTCTGCAGCAAGGAGTCGTGGATATAAATGCTGTATTTACGCTTGAATCGCGAGAGAGTCCTCTACGTGTAGACATTGTTGCGAATAACGGCCTAAAATGGATAAAAGTAATTGCTCGGAACTCGAAATCTATCGAGGATGCTGCTAAAGGCTGCGTCAGCTTTGGTGCACGCAGCGTTTTGGATCAGGCAAGCGATTATCTGGAAGCCAGTGAACTGCACTTCTGCATGTTTCAACGCCCCAAGGTGATGATGATCCCTCTAACTACATTTTCAATTATTTAGAGTGGTACTTTCTTTCAGATTGTCTTTTACTTCTCTAATAAAATAGACAGTTCGTTGCACGATGAGCTCAAAGAAATGGGAGTACAAACTGCCTCCTTGGAAGAGCCTGACTTGGATCTGGATCAGTATGCCACCTTGTCAAATGAATTAAACTTGGATGTGACTACCTTGCTGGCTTATGTGAGCGCTCTTTCGAATGGCGACTGCAATTACGTGTTCAAAGAGCCGCTTCTAACTGAACAGGCTGAAAAGGAACGCGAATCTCCGGTGAAACCAATACTCGACAAAATATTTAAAGACAAGCGCTTGGTATGTTGCCAATTGGCCAACGATGCATTTCAAAACATTCTCACTGTACTGGGAGGACCGGGTGAGCGTAAACGCGCTGAAGAGTTGATGAAACGAGTAACAGTGTATCCGGATGTCGACACAATACCGCCGGAGTTTTCGAACATACGTTTTACTGCTAAAGTGAATGAGCGAAGCTTAAAGATATTTAGTTTTGGTATGGATCGTAAAATATTTACAGTTACATCAAATAAGGCTTTTGTTAGATCGGCTAAAATGCAGGTGAGTGTAATTTTTACCTTGATTAAATTCGATGTTCGTAATATTTGTTTTATTTTCAGGGCATAAATGTGCCCGTTTTTGTTCATGCGTCACGTGCGCTTACTGAGGGTAAACAGGCGAACGCTGTGCCGCTCTAGAGTAATTAAATAGAAATTTTTAACTTATTACAACTTTGTACATAAAAAAGGTTAATTTTAAAATATTGTTATTTGACTCGTTAGGTATTTTTCGATAATATGCTGTTAGCTATCGGTTGACCAGCTGTGATACAGAGTTGCCAAGCAGCTCACGTACTGCGCAGGTAAACAAGAACAAAAAGAGAAAACATGGATTGTGCACCGCTAAATTTGGTAAATAAAAGAAATTCATCTCAAAACTGTCGTGTTTCATCCTTATCAATACGTACAGGCGCATTTCCACGAACGTCGCTCAGAGCGCTTCATACGCCACCATCGTTATGAAGACGCCATAAAAGCTCTGGAGACTTCTCTAATCTACATACAAGATGCATACAAAAATGTTCAAATGGCAAAATCGAAAGAAGTGCTCGATACCTTAACGCTTGACTTTCAGCGCAAGCTTCGGCAAATCGAGATGCGTAAAACACAATATGGACTCACAAAGATGAAAGACTTCGTGCAGCTGAAGGAGACAAGTCCCATGCTACCATTGCGGCCAGAGCAGGGAGTAGGGTCAGCCCAGTCTGTGGCCAAGGCCATCGACAAAACCGTACAGGACTTTGATGCCAAGTTCACCTCGACGATTGAACGAAAAGTGACGCCTTCGTTAGTGGAACTGAAAGTGGAGACCATGATCCAAAGCGACCCTCAATCAGAAAGTCAAGAGTTCCATAGCCTGTCCACACTTGACCGCAGCTCAGAGAATGAGATGCCTTCACTAACTCCATTAGAGTTACCCACATTTGATTACACCATGTTTACGAGCTCGTCAGCTCCGTCTCTGGCCAGCTACGTCGGCATGGCCGAGAGCAATCAAAAGTAACTTGTGATAATTAAAAATAAATAGTTTAGTTTGTATGCATATTTTACATATTGAGTTTTATTATTTAGCCAGCAATCCTTTTAACAAATCGTCCACGTCTGTCTCAGTCTCCACGTCCTTTAGCAGAAGTAAAACCTGTGCCTCCATCTCGCAGAGTATTGGGGGTTTTTGGTAGGTTATGATGAGTGTGTTGAACTGATGATGAGCGCTTATATTGGCCTGGACAGGCGGTACGCCGCAACGATCCAATTCAGGTACTTTTATAACTTTGTAATATTTCTTATTATTTGTGCGTACGATAATTGCGCGCTGCTCGGCATCTGCTCGAATATCGTACACATTTAGAGGGTAAGGTAGATTGCGTATGCGCCATTCAATGTTTTTCTTGGTAATACGTTTGGTTAGTAGTGGAGCAGTATTGCTCTCCCGCACAGTGAATTCTCCACCAGATATGTTGTCCGCATCACCACCGCCAGCTGTGTTTTGCTTATTGGCAGCAGCCCAATTCAGTTGGCGTGGCTCTTCGCCAAGCTCAATTTCCCATTCGGGTTCACCCATTAGCTGTTTGCATTTGCGCCAAGCTCGTCGTTGCACTACGCCCGTATCCATATTGTACTCCTCAGCCATTTGTTGACCGTCGGGGAACTTGTAGAGCACCTTCCGCAGCTTATTGCTGATCATTGAGTTTTTCTCAGCAGACTGCAAATAATTTAACCAATGTTGATACGACATTTTGTGAAAATAACAAACTACAACTGAATTTGATCGATGGCGCAAAAGCACATTTTGTTTTTTTTTTTTGCCCTGGCAACCAGGGCTGTCAGTAGTCAGCTGCTTGGCATTTTTTTTTTAAGCAAAATACATAGACAGGGGCTGCCAACTTGTTTCGAATATTGTCAAAAATCTAGAAAGCGAAGTTGACGTGGCCGCCGATGAGGGCATACAAATACGCATATTTCACCATTTGCAGTTGTATTTTAATATCTAAAGCTATTTAAAGTAAGCCAATTCACGGTACGTGTTTATAAATAGCTCCATAAAATAACACACAGTTTGTGTTTCGTACTATTTTTTTAAGTAATATTCTTAAATCTTTGCAGAGGCGAACAGAAGCACAGCGCACATTTTTTTTAAAATCTAGCAAACTTTTCACATTTTTATTGGAAAAGTAGCAAAAATGAGTTTGGTGTGGACTTTGATCGCCGGTTTTCTGTATACAGAAATCGCAGTGGTTTTGCTGTTGGTTTTGCCCGGAATCAGCCCGTACAAATGGAATCGTTTCTTCAAATCCAAATTTCTAGCCATGTTGGCCCAACAGGCACATCTCTACTTTTTCCTAATAATGGGTGTGTTGGTGCTGTTCCTTCTGGAAGCTATACGCGAAATGCGAAAATATTCCAACATTGACAACAGCGGCGAGGTCCATCTTAACGTAGAAATGCAGCACAGCATGAGATTATTCCGGGCCCAGCGTAACTTTTACATTTCCGGTTTTGCCATTTTCCTTGTTCTGGTCATACGGAAACTGGTCCAACTGATTTCGGCACAGGCCAATTTGCTTGCGCAGAGCGAAGCTTCCATGAAACAGGCCCAGAGCGCTACAGCCGCTGCTCGCTCTCTGATGACAGAGAAGACCGACAAGGCAAAGGAAGCTACCGAGGACTCAACCCTGAATGAGGTAAGTCAGCTCATAGAAATTTATATAGTTGGCATTTGGAGTTTTTGTACATCGTCCAGGCCAGGCATGTTTAAAGAGCTTTGCCCCCAACCTAACACTTTGACCGTTTGCTACTAGCAGCTGTATATTCAAGGCAATTTCTTCTTAATATACCCGCATGGAAAGTGTTGGGCGAGCATTAAGAGACAAAATGAAAGTATAAACTCTTCGTAAACTCTTTAAACAGTTGTCACGCCTGAGGAAACGTGTGCAAGGACTCAGCGCCAGATTATACTAAGTTTTCGAAACGACATTCCCCAAATATCCCCCGTCCACACACACATACATACAAAAAAGACCTAGCCTCTCCTTGGATAAGTATTCAAACATAGATGATACTCGTTTTGCAGCTCAACAAGCTGAAGGAACGCGTTCAGGAGCTGACCTCAGAATTGAACCGCGAAAAGAAGGATAAGGAAGCCGTCAAGTCCCAAGCAGAGAGCTTGAACCGTGAATATGATCGCCTCACCGAGGAGTACAGCAAGTTGCAGAAACAAATAACCATTGGTGGCGGAGCTAAAGGTGCATCCATTAAGGATGACTAAGCTAGACGCTCTTGATGTCGAGCGCTAAATAAACATTTAAGGAATGATAAGACTTATAACATGGCGGTGGGGCGAAGGCATCAACTGGAAATACAGCAAGATTATAGAAGATTATAAATCGATAACATAACCAAAAACACAAAAACAAACAAAACGAAATAAAAGCTTAGCTCTTAATACACATGTTTCACTGTTATCAATTATCTCTCAAGTTTTCAAACTGTATTTTTAATCTCTATATTCATTAGTAAACTTAATACTTTGTTTGTCGCATCCAAAGGTTCATTGGATTTTTCAATAAATAATCTTATGAATACTCACAAAGCAAACTATTTGTGATTCATGTTCCACAGACCACGTATAAATAATGACATCATCTATGACGCACTTTGAACAAATTCGTTTAGCTACTCCCACCAGAAACTAACGGAGAAACTGGCTGTTTCGGAGCGCACATAATGCCACCACTTGGGAGGCAAATACAAGCAATCGCCAGGTTGTAGCAACAGCTTATAAAATCGTACCCCCTTCAGTAATGGAAATCGCTCAAAGTCCGGTTCGGCAGCATCAATTTGAGAGGTGTTGTTCAAGAACTCGCTTTCGTGTGGGTAGAGATTCTCGGTGTCTGCACAAGAAGCCAATATAATACTTTTACTACCGAATACTTGGCAGAGCAAGTTATGCTTGGGATCGTAGTGCATCGGTGAGATGGTGTGACGTGGTCCTAGCCAGGCTTTAATATCCACATCTGCTTCATTACTCGCCGTAACAGTGCAGTAGTCCGGCACACAGATGTCCGCCTTCAGTGCTGGGATTTGCGCGAACAGCTCATGCTGCGCTAGATACTCAATCTCCTGATCTCCGTTACCCTGACCAAACTGCCTGTAGAGAAAGTCACGAAGCTTAACCAGCTGTTGGGACCACTCATCGCTGGCGTAATTGGAACCAATTTCAATTGGTACGGTGCGATTGCCAGCTACTTTTAGTAAATAATTCAAATCGCGCCATTTATTCAACGCTGGCCAATGATTGATCGTGTTAAGCAGCAGCGTCGGCTGCAATTTCTCATAGCATTTCGTGCGGAATTCCGTGATACTAGGTGCATCCAGTTGGGGTATATCACAGTCAGCTATGCGTCGTTCGATTGGTGCTAAAATGGGCAGCGGGTCCCTAGTAAATTTTATAGCATCCTTGTCCAAGTACATCATCAGCGCCTCCTTCAATTCATTGGCTTTTTCATACAGCTTATCTGTGCAGCCCAACAGTTGAGCTTCGTCCAAAACAGAGCCACATTGTTCGATCTGCTCCAAGCTTGTGTCTTCCAATAGCAGAAAGAAAATCTACTTAAAGAAATAAATATTAATAAGGTATATTGATTTGTAGCATAAGCTAAATCACCTTAAAGTAGCAAGCCAGTGCATAGATTTTCCTTATGGTCACCGACACGCTACTAAAATGTCCACTATGAATGCGTTCCCAGGTTTTGTCCACTAGTCCCCGTACCAAATATGAAATTTCCTCCTCTTCCCCATTTAAATGAGAGTTTTCAAAGTAATCTGCTGCTCGCTTAAGTATGTATCTCGCTTCAGCTTCATTTTGAAGCAGCTCTTCTATGTCCCCAAAGCGAGGAAGTAATTTAAAAATCTGCTCAATTGAATCGACCATTGCTTGATGAAAACGAATAAAGCCGGTATACCAAGCTTAAAATGGTTTCAAAGCAGCTGATCGCCTAGTGCTGTACAATAAATACTGCACTTTGCAGTATTAAGATGGTATTTTTATAGCTAGTATTGGAATATTGTAAGTATGGTAGCACTGCGCGCCGTCTACAAATACTCGTTGAACGTGACATGGAACCGGCTATAAAGAAATCAAAAATGGTTAATAATAAATTCAAGCATGGCAAAAAGAAGTATTTTCAGCAAAGCAAGAAACAAGTGTTACAGCCAGGACAACGTGGGTTTCTTGTCACTTGCAACATGAACGAAAAGGCATGTGTGCGCGAATGCTACAATTTGCTTAACCATTATGCTGATGAACTGTACGGCCCGGAGATGCAACCAGATGAAAGCAAACAGGCGGCAAGCACAGAAGCAGGAGGAGAGTCCGACAGCGACGATTTGGACGCAGCTGTAGCCAAATGCCGTGAGATGATTGCGCAAAGAAAACAACGCTTCCAAAACGTGGACACGGGCACTACAAACTGTTTATTTATACGCACTCAGCTGGATGATCCAGTGGCACTTGGCAAGCACATAGTCAACGACATTAAAGCTACGGGTAAAGCCATGTCTCGCTTTGTGCTGCGTCTGGTGCCTATCGAATCCGTCTGTCGCGCCAATATGCCAGATATTATCAACGCAGCTGGAGCACTCTTCGACAAGCACTTTCTCAAGGAGGCAACCACATATGGCATCATATTCAATCATCGCTACAATCAGCAAATCAAACGTGATACCATAATCAAGGAACTAGCCGACTTGGTCAACTCGAAGAACGTAGGCAACAAAGTTGATTTGCATAATGCCAAAAAGTCAATCATTGTCGAGGTGCTGAGAGGCTGGTGCCTGTTGAGCGTCGTGGACAACTATTTAGAATTTAAGAAATATAATTTAGCCGAGCTGGCAAATGTCAATGGGCAGAAGACAAATGACGTCGGCGATTCCAAGGCAACTGAAACTGCTGAGCAGGAGACGGAGAGTACTACGAAATCCATTGAGAATACTGTGGCCGCTGTTGAGAACTAATAAAATTTACTATTAATTTTGTTAAACTCTGTTTATGTATTCCAGTTACATAAACATTCACCCTTATCGGCTAACTTTGGAGTGTACATGTGTGCTTTCAGTATCCATATCCCATCGTGTCCACTTAGCTTACATTTAAAGTATTTGTAGTTAAATTACGCATAGACTAGAAACTTCTTAGGCGGATCGTTTCAACAGCAGCTTAACTATTCCAGCGATCTTCTCATAGGCCATAAACATCAGCGCCGCTGTTAGCACCGTTTGCAGAATCTTCGCTTCCAGGCCACGGAAGAGACCGCCAATGCCTTGATGCTGCAGTATGCTGACCATAATCTCCAGCATCGATGGCGTCTTTTGCTGCTTGCCTGCCTGCTCGGATGTGGAGGGGGTGTTGGTCGTATCATTGGTGCGATGACGTTGCTTAGTCTGCACCAACTGCAGTGGGTAGGTGAGCACGGTGGCAAATGCCTTTGCAATGGCGCCAATTACAAAAAAGCTCAGGCTGCCCATTTCGCCGCCCGTGAATATCATCAGGTTCCGTTTGAGCAGCTCGTACATCATGAACTGTAGCGCGGGATTGGAGACTAGCATGAGGGAGGGTATGGTGCCCGACCAGAGGCCGGACAGTCCCTCCGTTTTGGCCACGTATTTGAGGCCTTGGAGCAGATTTGTATAGTGCTTATTCACCTCGTCGGAAGTGCCGGCCACGTTGCGCATGCGTAAACGCGTATTCACTACCCAGAACGGGGTCGTTGTGAACACATTTATGACGCCCGCAATGCTGCCCAGCAAGAGATCCTTCAAGGCGCTCTGCTGTCCACGCGCCCCATTTGAGGTGACCAGCTTGAGGGCATGGAATGTATAGAAATAGACAAAATTCGAAATGCACAAGCTTTGCAGAACTGGCCCAAGTCCACGATACAGCGACTGGAATCCTTCATTCAAGACTATCTCTTTGATAACACGCTTTGTGCTGCGCACTTCGCCGCTCTCCTCCACTGAAAATAGATGTGAAGAGTAGAGAAACCAATCGATGGATTAGTGTGCATTATCAAACTATATATATCAAATTAAAGTGTATTCCCTCGAGTCCAATCGTCCAATCACAATTTGCTTATCAACCGAAATTTTTGATTAGTCAAGCACTTACATTGAAGGCGCGAGCGCACGGTGTCCAGTGGATAAAAGGTGCTCATTGCTATGCAGCCGCCCTGTGTAAATAATATATTTGGATATTGAACATTCAAGAAATTGAACTTTCATCCCATTCATTTTAGGGAAAATCACTTACGGCTGCGCCCGAGACGGCATGCACCCAGTTCTGATAGCTGAACACCTGGCTTATTTTCGATTGGGCCACCATATTGTTGTTGTATACTGACTTTTGCTTTTTATTTAATTAATGCTCTAATTAGTGCACATTCAACGGCGTCTCCGGACAGCTGCCGACTGACTGATTGATTTCACTGTCTCGCACGCCGGTCTAAACGTATATTCAAAACGACGTATACTTCACAAACGCTAGAAGCCAGATTAGATTACCGCGCCAGCGCGTTGATTTGTCATTCGTTTCGTTCGTCGTTAATTGTATTTGTACTCCATTCAATACTGTGGATGATATTTGCATTAAACAAACGCGAACGTTTGTCCCAATATTTTGCTGTTTTTTTTATTTATGTTTTTTTTTTTTTTTTTCTGGGAGAGCTGTGAAGTGTTGAAAAGCGACTGCAGGGGTTGTGCTGCAGTGAATCAGTGTTGCAAATCGGAAAGGGCGGCCAGCACTCAATATTTAAAAATATGTTTTCTTTAATTTGTATTTTTTAATAATTAGAGCTAATTAAAAGCTAACTAAAACTTAAAGCAGCTGATCGATAAGGCACTTCTCCCGGCGAGGCTCCAGTCTCGGCTTTTTCATAAAATTAATGCCCGTCTCACTGCTGCTGTTTAGCAAATCGGCCGCCTTTCGCTTTTGATTCTGCAAAGGAATAAGGAAATAGTAAGTTCAGAATAGTTGGGAGTCATGTCGTCTGTCACTAACCTCATGCTCCTCCTCAGTTAGCGTGGCAAACACAAAGTTTTTAGCTTTGGCTGACTTGACGGAAACAGTGCCAGCTGCTCCATCCAGATCACCAGCTGAGCCTTTGGTCAAGCCAGCTAGCTTGCTGAGTGTCTCTTTGTCCCGCACCAGAAAGGAACCACGCACCGCTCGCTGCTGTTGCTGCTGCTGCTGGGAGGTCTTTGAGATCAARAATGGCGAGCTCTTTTTTGCCTCCACTGTGGTTTTCTTAGCTGTGATTATGGTTAGCTTTCGTATAGTTGTGTTGCTGTTAGTCACAGCCGGTGAGAGGGGTGACCCGCTGCCTACTGTTGCCTATGATTATAGTTGGATAAATCAGGTGATTGCAGTCGGCAACTTAGTAACTTAACTTAATTACCTCTTTAAGTCCCTTCTCAAGTAAGAGCTGCTCTCTCTCGTAGCGAATCTTGCGCCACAAATGTTCGTTCTCTTCATCCCCGCTGCCTTCGTTGGCTTCAGCATCGCCGTTTTGGTTGCGGGGATCATCCAAGCTAAAGCCAAGGCCGTTATCTGCGTTCTTCCAACGGAACTGCCGCTGACGCACTGCACCCTCCTCATCCTCAAAGAGCATTTCCTTTATCTTGCGCACCTCTCTTATGTCCTGATCAAGCATTTTGCGTCTGAGGGAAATGGAGAAGACATCTTAAAGTGAATTTCTAAATATATCCATTATTTACTCACGCGTGAATCTGTCCCAGTTCGTTGCGGAGTTTTTCCCTATCAAACTGATCCTCGTCACCAAGCTCTATGTCATAACAGTCCATATTCTTTTCATCCTCATCAGCCGAGCCCCATTCTGACTCAGATAATTCAGCTTCATTCTCCACAAAGTTCGATGCGCGTAATTTCCGATCTTTCTTTGTCATTTCGACCACGATTTCATTCTCTTCGGAGTCATAGTCGACGAATGTCTCCGGTACTTCTTCTGACTCTTCTACCTCGCACTCTTCTTGATCCGGTTCCTCTTCCACATTATTATCTGAATCATCATCGCTTTCTTCGTCATCAGAGAATCCCAATTTTGCCTTCTTCTTTTGCCTCCTCTTGGTCAATTTTTTCTGTCGCGGTTTATCAGTTTCCAATGGTTGCTTTGCCTCTTCATCGCTGGAGAGTATTTTATTGCTCTCTGGTGCCGGCTGAGTTTCAAAAGTGCCTGAGCATAGCGCCTCCAATTCTTCGGGCTGTGTGTTTGCTGGTGTTTGTGTTACGGGAATTTGACTAATGAGTGCTCCGACCGTCGGTGCTGCCGATGAGATTTCCGATTGCGTGAATCTTCCAGAGCACAGCCCTAGTAGTTCGTTCTCTTCGTCGCTAGCCGAACGTTGAATTTCCGTGTCGAACAGCTTGTGGGCAGATAACTGTAGTTCGTCGGCAGCCACAGGCGGCACATTGCTTGGCTTGGGCGTCTGCAGCAAATCCACATCATCCTCATCGGAGTTGTCGTCCTCGAATGCGCGTATAATACGATTTTTTCGCTTGCTCGTTTGAGTCTCTTCTTCTGGTTCGCTGTCGCTGCTGCTAGTTTCCTCTTGCTCTGGTGCCTCTGTTCCCGAATCTGCTTCCAAGTCTGCTTCTGCTTCTGCTTCACCAGCGTCAACTTCCACATCTTCGTCCTCTCCATCTTCAACGTCTTCTGCATTATCTGCTTCAACAATTTCCTCATCATCATTAATAATCAGTTCACTTTTGTTGGGCTTTGCGTCTGGTTCATATTCTTCAGCCTCATCTACATCCATGTCCTCATCCTCATCAGCTTCATCAATTGAATTTTCCATTTCCTCAGCTTGCTTCTTGCGTAGCTCTTCCATTCGTTTATTGGTTATCAATGTCTTGAGATGATCCTGCATCTTAAGGTAGGCTGCGCCTGGCTTCTGCTCCTTGTTGACTGGCTCCTCTTCATGCAGATGTATGCTCACCTTCGATAACTCCAGCTTACCATGTGCAGCGGATAAAATGCTGCATAAAGATTTGAATATTAAACATAGAAGCTGATTAATCTGTTTCTTTACTCACTTAACTGTCTCCGTAGTCTTGTGCTTCTTGGCCTCCCGTGTTTTCATTAGGCGCTGCAGCAAATCATCTACTCCCGTTGGCTTCTTGGCAAACATGTCGCCCGTTTCCAGATCAATGACCATGTTGGCATCGCCCTTTAAGGAAGGGCTAATATCGCTGCTTTTCTCATTTTTTATTCGTCGTATGACTTCACTTATGCGTGGCGTAGAGGGCTTCGAAGGCGGCGTAATGTCCAAATTGCTTAAATCCAACTTGGGCAACTCCACAACCTCCGTTACCAGTCTTGTTTTAGTAGGTGAAACCATTTCAGGCACAACTTGATTATCTTCTAGTGTTTCAGCCTCAGTGACTGCTGCAATATTCTCAACTACTGGCTCAATTTCTGGAAGAGCTACATGATCCTCCACTTCAACTGTCTTCTCCTCCAGTTGGTCACCTATCTCAATATCGACTTGATCCGGTTTATCAATTATGTCCATTGGTTCATCTACATCTGCATTTGCATCTACATCTTTGCCTCCATCTTCATCATCATCTTCGTGCTCCGATTCTGATTTAAAGAACTCGGTTGCCTCCTTGGCGCGTTCCTCCATTAGTTTGCTGCAAAAAAATGCATTTAGATTTTATATATCAGCTATTGCTAACTAAGCTTACGCATATGCTTGCAGCTCCTCGTCGTTCATACGGAGCGCCAATGATCTCCTGGGTTCCTTGCTCGGCATGGGACTTCCGCCGGCCAAAGCCACTGCAAGTGGTTTGTTGATGGTGCGTCTGCTGAGAAACTCTTTCAGGGTGCGTGGCTTGGGTTGATGGTAGGGCACACTTATATGCGCCTCTCGGTGCAGCCTTTGCTGCTCACTTTGTATGGCCTGCATCCCATCTAAAGCCTTCTTAGCTGAGGCCTGTAATGAAGTGAAATATGGATTAGCTTGCTTACATAATGGTTTGTTTACTTACCCGCATAGGCTTGGCTTTGTGTTGTTTGCTTGCAGACGCTTCACTTGCGTCCTCTTGTTCCATTGGTTCCTCATTATTACTGCGCTCCGATTCGGATTCTGAATCAACAATGCCTTTAAGCTTACTTCTTGTTTCATTCTCACTTTGGTTGCCATCGCTCGACAGAGCACTCAACTCATCGCCGCTTTCCAGTCGCTGTTTCCTTTTCTTCTCTGTTTTTCTGTTCTTTTTATTTTGCTTGCTGCGTTCGTTCCTCTCCTCCTCCTCCTGCTGATCCTCTTCGCTGTCTGTGTCAATAATTGCACTTATCTTCTTCTTAGGCTTAGGCTCAGACTTTAGTTCTTCGTCTTCTTCCTCATCATTGGTTTTCTCCTCTTCCGTGCTTGCTGTTGCCCCAGAATCCTTGTCTGCCGCAACTGGATCTTCTTCGCTGTCAGAGTCAACTATTGCTGATATCTTTTTCCTCGACTTTTGTTTTGTCATTAAGTTCTCTTCTTCTTCCTTCGCCCCCTCCTCATGCTCCTCTTCACTTTCTGAATCAATTATTGCTATTTTCTTTCTATGCTTTGTTGCAGCATTCTTTTCCATACCCTCGTCCTGTAGCCGATGAGCACTATTTCTCGGGGATACCTGTTTAGTTGCTGGTGCACAAGTCTCATCATCTTCGCTGTCCGACATTTGCAGTGCTTCGCCACCTAATATATCTTCGAGAGACACATTCTTTTCGTCTTCCTCGTCGATTTGCAGTTTTTCCATTGAATCGTCTGTTTTATCAGCATTTTCTGCTGTTGTTGCAGTTTCTGCTACTGTTGTGCTCATATTTCTGGGTCAGTTTATTTCTCTTCTTCTCAATAAAATTTTAAACACAAATAAAACGCAGTTGAACACGCACACATATAAGCGCAGTGCAGCTCAATTTGGCGCGAAATGCAACAGCTGTTTCATTTGAGTCTGGCAGCGCCATTTAAAAATACAGCGGAGTGGCAGCACATACTTATGGGATCAGTGTGTTTAGCAAGGCTTATTATTGATAGTGGTTTTGGGTTGTGTCTTTGCTAACGTGCGAAACATTCCGAATATACATTGATTATCGGTTAAAGCTCCGTTTGATGCAGACATACATTTCTTAAAATTTTATTTTAAAAATTTTTCAATAACATTTTCATAATATTAATTAAAACTTAATTAGTCAGATGCCAACGGATATTTCATTTTCTACTGATAATCAATCTCTTGGTTGGTTGGTAGCTAGTCTGGTTTTTGCTTATGGTTCGTATATTTGATAAACTATTAATTATTCGGAATGCCCATTGGAAAACCGTTCAGTGAAACCGGTTAGAAAACCGTTTAATACAAACAATTTCAATCATTGATTCAAAATTCGCTAACATTTTTAATTAACATTTTGTGAAATGCGTACACATCAAGCCCGAATACCGCGAATAATTTCAAATCAAATTTCATTTCGTCAATTAACAACTAAGTACATGAGGCCGAACAACACAATCGAAAATAATCATGATGATAATCAAATCGTATTTGCATATCAGCAAAAACGCACACAAGCACAGACACACACACAGACACCGACAGAGAGACTCACCTGTAAATATTTCACCTGTTCTGTTGGCTGCTGCTGTTGTAAATTTAGCGAATTGTTGCAGTTGGTTTGATTTTGTCTTGCTTTGCTTTCTCCGCATCTCTTTTTTCCCATTTCTCTTTCACAGTTTACAGCTAAAAATTGTTGTTTGGGTCATTAAGTAACCCCGGTACGCTGCCCTAATGGCATTCAGTAAACCCAATATTTATCCATTTTAGGCATAAACGGCGTACAAATTTAATTAAACCTGCAGTCCGAGCCAAGTCGTGTCTAATATTTAATTTTTAACGAAAGCAAAAGCCACTAACCGCAACCAAATCGTTGTTTTTCTTTCTTATTTTGCCTAGGTGTCAAATTCCATTCGATAGTTCAGCATTTCAGCATTTCACTTTGTGAGCACCATTCTGTGCCACATAATATATGATTATTGCTTCGCCAAATGCTTCGATTTGGTTGCGCAACATTTTTACCAGCGAGTCCTACACCAAAAGCCCATCATAGAAAGCGAATTTTGTTTGCCATATTTATGCATATTTATTCACTAGAAAATAAATTCATAATAGATTTCTATAAATAAAGCTTAGTTTAAGCCAAATCAAAACAATTTACAGTTAGCTGGATAACAAGTGCTCTTTCATTGATTGAATACCCGATTATAATATGAATTCATATAACTGACTGAAACTCAAATTTATAATTTAAAAATATATCAAAAAGATATCTAAATATAGTAAAACTATACGATAAAGACTTTCAGTTACTCGTGCTTATGATCTTCATTAAATGTTATAAAATAATTTAAAGTTACTTTTTATGCATGCAGACAGCGCATATTCAGCCTGAACGTTTTAATAGCTCATTAAGACTTGATATCTTTTTTTTAGTGTATCATATACCGTTTTTATCGTTGATAAGCACTAACAGCTGCAAACTCCCCCAACGGCGCACCAAGCTCATCTATCATCTCATATCGCTGAAGAGCTTCAGACTTGGTCCGAAGTGTGCGCACCAATTAGCATATAAAATCTGTATTTATTTTTCTCGTCGGCCGGGCGAACAATTTCTCTTTCATTTGCCAAAAAAGCAAAAAAAGAAAGAAAAAAATCGAGAAGAAGTTAAAAAGTTTTTAACTGTTAACTGCGTATGCTGGTAGTTGATAGTTGGCTGTTAGCGGTTGCCTCTTGGCTGAAACTGCTGCTCGTATTGGCCATCTTTCTCTCATATCTGTAGCAAAAGATTTTGCTTACGGTTGTTCAACTAATTTGAAAAAAAACACACACACACACATACACATATATATGCATCGGATATCTGTCAATATCTTTGGCTATTTGGTCAGCGAATGAAAGTGAAAATCTTGTGACTAAACCAAAAGATACACGACGATACAAAGCACAAAAAGAAGGCCAAAATAAACCGTCTTTCAAAATGAGTTAGATAAATACTTATTGGCTATTTGTCTTCGAACCTCGAATGTGACTTCGAATTCCAATTGGAAATCATTGCAAAGGCAAACAAAGCGTGCTTTCTTAAGGCTTTAGAAAACTATTATGTTTTCTTTTCTTCTGCTACTCATTCGACTTTTTTTTTCTTTTTGGCAACAACAGTTAAGTGCTTATGCAACTCGATGATCTTGCAACAACTCAACTTGCTGTGTCAGTGTATGTGTGTGTGAGTGCAGCTGCCACAAAGAGTTGCAAGGCGTTGTCTAAAGGCATTTTATGGAGTGTCGACTGCAAGCGGATATTTCACAATGAAATGCAAATGGCCCCTGGGACAGTTCCTGCCAGCAGAGAGCAGCGCCGAGGTCGGACAGAGATGGAGAGTGATTGTGGGGGAGGGGCACAGGTAAAGAAAGAGAGGGAGCAATACCACGGCGAGCCGACATGAGGGATAAAATAAGTTAAACACGGAATTGGACTTTGACAGTAGAAAAGGAGAGAGAGAGAGAGGATTACGGTGAATGAGAAATGAGAATAAAGGGGGCCCAAAGAGAGAGAGAGAGAGAGAGAGAGAGAGAGAGAGAGAGAGAGAGAGAGGGCAGGGCAGGGTTTGGTTGCCTCGCTTTTTCGGTTGCTTGCCTGATTGAGATTTTTGCCCGTTGCTGCTGTCATTTTTGCTATGGCAAGTGAAAGTGATATATGGCGCATGACTCAGGCGCAGGCAACGACCACACACACTTATGATATATACACACCCCTTCATATGCATAAGACAATAATTAAGCCGCATTTTTATGCAGCAATAGACAAAAAAATTGCAAAAAAGGGCAACAAAAGCCAAAAGCAGGAAAGAAAAAATAAAACAAAAAAAGTAAGAAAGCTCTAGTCGAGACTGCTCGACTAGGAGATACCCTGAACCCTCTAATGTGATATTCTAATCATTCTGCACTTCTTTTATGCACACATACATACAGATGCATCNTTCAAATTAGGCTAAAAAAACAAAATCAATTTTTCGATTATTCTCGATAAAAAAGTTATCGGACGATTTATCGAAAAAATAAAGCAAACTCGTACTGCGTATGGTACACACGAGTATGCATGCCAAATTTCAGCTCTCTAGCTCTTATAACTTCTGAGATCGACGCACTCATACGGACGGACGGACGGACGGACGGACGGACAGGGCTATATCGACTCAGCTCGTCACGCTGATCAAGAATATATATACTTTGTGGGGTCTGCCACGCCTCCTTCTGCCCGTTACATACTTTTTCACAAAACCATTATACCCTGATTTCCCATTTTCAATGGGTTCAGGGTATAAAAAATCTGAAGTCCGAGAAATCGATTAAAGCAACAGCGAGATGCTGAAAAGATGCAGAAAGCAGCAAAGGTGTGGAAAATCATAAGACTAAAAAGGCTATATGGATATATTGAAATAGATATTTATATGATACTTCGATACTCTCTTTTATCTATATCAAATATAGCTCTAGCTATAGCTAGCTCTTATAATTACTATCCACTGCTCGAGTTGCTCCGTCTCAGTCAATAGGCAGAGGTCTAACAGCCTTGATTCAAGGTTCATTGTGCATATGGCTGCATAATCACATGACTTTGGCTCGCATATGCGATAGACTGCAATTAAGGGCCGACAGCAGCAAAAAGAGAAATATGTATATGTATGTATATATGTGTTTATTGCAGCTGACAAAAGAAATGGAAAGTGAAGCTGAGAGTAAAGCGACCCAGCAGACAGCAGCCAGAGTCAGAGGCAGAGCCAGCAGCCAGCAGCCAGCATGGGTGCCAACGATGGCGTTGACCGAAGCTCGGATTGGACTTGCATAATGATTGGCCGAGTGCTCCCGTGTTGGCCGAGTTGGCCCTGCCTTGGGGATCAGTCACATTATATTTTAAGTGCTGTTGTTTAATGAACAATATGAGCTTAAGAGCCGGGCACCGTTATACAGCCATCGGGCCACAAAGAAAAGCCAAGCAAATTGTGCAAAACGTTGTCATATAACTTGTTTTTTGTTCGAAAATGAAACAAACAAAAAACTGAAACTGAAACTGAAAATGAAACTGAAACCGAAACCGAAACTGAACGAATCTGAGGAGAGATACAAATTTCTGATGCTGCTGCGGCTGCAACAGTTGTTGTTGTTGTTGCTGTTGCTGCCTGGCAGCGATTTTCCCCGAATGAAAATAATGTGTGAAAAATGGACCTCGATTCGTTGATCATTTATCAAAAGGTGCTGCAGACAGTGACTGAAGATCACATTGTAGTGATTAAGCGTTCATTGGATGGAGATCAAAGAGATATCAAGTTTTCTAGTGCATATGTATATGCGAGGCGAAGTTGAAAACTTTGGATTTTTGTGGGGTCCCCATATGCAATACGATATATTATTATTTTATTAATATGTAGTAAATTTTACTTTTTATCTGCGTTTT